TTTAGCCTGCTAACAATTTTATTAGCAAAAGCTCCGTCTCGCAAATGCAGCTAGATCATTGTTATTATCACTACTGTCTGTAGTGGTTGTCTTCAGTCCCAAATTGCTTATGGCTATGTTAAAAATTAGAAAATTAAACGATACTTACCTGAAGTCGAAGTTTGATTGAAATTCTATGAGTTACAGTTCAGGAGCTAGGAAGTCACCCAACCAAGTAAGCGACTTCAAGTAAGTCTTTTTCATCACTGTTCTACGTCACTATGAAATCATGTGAGATTTTAAAGCAATGTGAACATGAGCAATAACTAATAACAAAAGTTTATTGTTATTAGTTATTGCTCATGTTCACAAAAATTTCACATTTTTTGTATCACAAATGGCAGAAAGTAGATCATTGCCAAAGTTCTTTGCCTCAATTGGTTTATTATAAAAGGTTTGAAAAGTTTGTTCATTACGCCATGTAGCTGCATTCATAATAGTGTCCATAGATCTATTCAACGCCTTGCCGCAGAAGTTGATGCCGTTCTAGTACTGTGTGCACTGTAAACCTCAGTATTTATACCAGCATCCTTTAACGCGTATTTTAACCATCAAAAAATGGTCATTGAAGTGACCAAATGATAAGGTTTTTGATAGCTCAATAGGAGTTTTCTTGTACCATTTCGTATGGGTGCAGTGGCATTTAGATAATGTGATAAGTAATTGAATACACATAACCCAGGCTCTGGTTGATAAGCCCGAAATCCTAAAGGAGCTACATGCTTACCAGGTTTAGATGTTTTTAGTAGTTAGTGCACAAGAAAAACTGTTCGATCTACTTTCTTCATAATATGAGAAATATGCAATGCGTGAAGTGTTTGGCATCGCTGACCAGATAATAAAACTAAAAGCATTACTGTTTTTAGTGCTAATGATTTCAAATTGAGATCTTTCGGAGTGTGGAGTTTTCGAAGATATTTGAATACCGCTGAAACGTCCCAGACCATTGCATATCTAGAAAGAGCTGGTCTTGCAACAAATACATCTTTAACAAACCTAGCAATGAGTGGATGTGTACCAAACGAGATGCCACTTGGTAGCATTAGGATAATAGTTAAGGCGCTCCTTGCAGTATTAATCCCGCTGTAGGATAAACCTTCCTGGTATAATTTTGTAAGAAAATTAATGCCCTCTTGTACAGAGGATGCAACAGGATCAATGTTGTTTGCGTTGCAATATTGTCGTCAACGGTTAAGGTATGTAGAATATTGCTTCTTGGTACCGGTCCGGTACCGGTCGCAGACTGCTGGATGATTTGAGAGGCCTCTGGTGAAATGCCTTTATCAGAGAGAAGCTGCCCGATAAATGGCAAAGTAGTAGCTCCAGTATTGTATTGAGAGGGTGGATTTGATCCGGATGAGCTGGAAGACTTGACTGGAAGATCATTCTTCCCTCTACGTAAAACAACAGGATGTACTATTAGCATCTGCATTAAAGCTGGTCACCAACTTTGTGTTGGCCAGTTAGGGACTAAGACTAGTCTTGTGCTTTTATCTTGTACTATTTTTGTAATACTTGCAGATTATAATAATATTTTTGTAAACGACTATCGGAAAGTTGCGTTTCCCTTATTACTATAAGTAATTCACTTTCTATTGCATGCATATCTTTACATTTAGCGATGCTATTCAATATCTTTTGAGTGTCATGTTAACAACATGCCTAGTTGTACACGAGTATTTCCTTGAATTGTTGACGGTTGGTAAGTACACAACTATATGCACGATTACAACAGTAAAGTACTTGAAAGTTTAAATCCAACACATGTATATTTAGATAGGTTAATAAAATGGAAAATCATTTAATGAGTATAAATAAGTGACTGATAAATGTCCCAACTATAACGATATGTAGAGGGCTCTTAACGCTGAAGCATTTAATAAAAAAGATTTTTGGAATATGACATCTGCAAACCTTGTAGAGGAAAAGAAGAAAATGTTAAAAAAGTACTCAAAACAAATTCAATTGTAGTTACGAAATTGTTCCCATTCCTCGTATTTTTGGTTTTATTGAACATTCAACATCTGTATTATTTGAGGCTATACTTTTTACTTTCGTAAACACTTATAACGTTCACGTGACGTGTATAAAGTTTCGTGACGGTATTATTTGCAATGATATATTATTGTAATAATATAATGCACCGATGGGACATTATCAGCTCGAAAATTTAAACAATAAACTACAATCATCAACAATACTGTGGCTTATTTAACCTGCTTATTAAAACTAGGAGTTACAATTGCAAGGTAATTGCTGCTTCTCGCACCGAGTAGGCGAAAAGTGCCATTTGCACATTGCTATTGGATGTTTTCCATCATTTATTATCTGTCATAAGCGACACAATACCAAATGGACAAAAGCACGGTAATTTTTAAAACATAACATTGATATGAGCAACAAACTGCAATATCTTGTATATTTTGTCACTTAATATAGACAAATAAATTGTATCACCTTTTATACAAGAATATGCAAGAAGTAACACTGTATGTATGTATAATATGCTAATATTAAATTGGGAATAATTGACGAGCAGTATTCCAAAGCTCATTTTACAAAATTTGCATGCTAAAGGCAAGCGGTAGAAAAGCAATTGCTTCATTTAAGTTATTGATCTTTACATTTATATGTTGCAGTTGACAGGAAAGTTAGAACTCAGCCAATAACGAATTAAACCATGTTAAGTGGAGCTTAAAGGATGTTTTATTTTGTTCAATTTGTTGCCAACCAGCACAAGATCAACACACCATTAACACCAACAATTATATGGTGTATATATGTATCTCTCAGTCTCCCAGTGTTTGTGTGTAACTATATTATTTGATTTTATAGGTCATTATTCATGACCATTACCATCTACTTACATACATTATACACGAGCATGGAATTGACTAGGACTGACTACACATTAAATTAAACAAAAGATTACGGACTCCATAAGCTGTAATGTTTGTACCTTAAAATATCAAAATACACTGCTATATAAATGTCAAGCGCTCAAAGCCGACAGCAAGCTCGAGAAAGCATAAGTATATTCGTTTACGGTGCTTTACTTGCGACGATTATAGTGACGTCCTCGCAAATTTAACATAAAATTCATTGCTATTTTGAATGAAAACCGTTTTGATTAGATAAATACTATATCATCACTTGCCGTCCAAACGCTTTGTAAAGAGTAAAATCGTCGTTCACGGATAAGTCGAACGAAATTTTCTTCTGTAAGTGAACAGAGTTAACAGAGTGATGAGTTTAACATGTCAAAGCAAAACTTCCTGTTAGTTCATTAGTTGAGTTGTCCTGGTAAAATTTATAATTCGTCTAAAACTCTTGTAGACGTTGTGGTCCAGTATCTATGAAGCTGAAATATTTATAGTTGTATAATTATGAAATGTGCGTGTCAGTCTATTCCAAGGTCATGTTGTGGTTATCAAATTGATAGATACTCTTCCATAATAGGCTGTACTCTCGGGCCCCGTTTACACTATACCGGATTGCTATCGTAGCAGGGTGAATGTTCTTTGTATTAAAAGGCAATGAAATTGTTCAACGTCAGAAACACAATCAAATAGACTAAATCTATCAACTTAATAAGCTTTTACTCCGAACAGTTACCCTTTAAAGCAAATGAAGATGTCGTGATGAGCGAATCCCGTTTAGAGTAAAAGCAGCCTCAGTTCGGTACTTTTCTTGGCCATCACATTACACATACGTAAATATTTTAAAACGAAAATCATTTGAGTTGCTTAAACAGTTATACTACATGAAACATTTCTTGGCTCTAGAACTGTAAAGTCACTATTGAGAGATCTTACTTATTTATTGTCTACTTGTAATAACACATTAAATGTACTCTTGTCCACCATGCGGTCAATAAAATCTTCGTGCTGTTAAAAGTTCCGATGATAACATGAAAGCACATTGTGTTTCTAACCAAGTGAATCGCCTTGATGCAAATCAGCAACCGTTCATATAGCCATATGATTGCTATTATTATAAAATGCCCTGGAAAAATCTTAACAGACACACGCCAAAACGAGATTTCCCCAATATATAGGTCGCGGAAAAGTACTGCGTCGAGTAAATTGACTGTCAAGAATAGTGAGCAATAACTTTGTTGAAACTACAAATATGTAATAATATATTTTGAGACCCGCTCATGTCCCCCATGAGTAAATTATATCATAACTTTGGATATACACAATGTAAAATGACAAACAATTACAAACTCACCACCAAATTACTGCTAAAGAATTGATCTTTCAAATTATGTAATTGTCATTTGTTTTGATAGCATTTTACACGCAATATTTAGCTTTGAATTAATGTTGCACAAAATACGCTTCTTTAAATTGTTTACAAGTTTTATTGTGATGTATTTTGTCATAGGAGGCCCAGAAATCTGTTTTATTTGGGCTTTTTATGCAATCGATTTAATAGTAAATATATTCCTATTTTGATTCATATGCAATGTTTATTACACGCACGACTAGCGAGAGTTCCACCTTTATATGGTCTAAATAGTCTTATATTTTGACTATATATTTTGTATAAGTTCATAGGTAATAAATTTATATAGGTTCAGGTAATTTTATTTATATGGTGTGAAAATTTTCACAAAAAGTAAAGTATTTTATGAGATATTTTGGACGAAACAATCACTATAAATCATAATAAACGGTTGCATAATTTTTCCGCGTCGCGAAAGAGTTTAAGGCTGCGTTTACACTATACCGGATTCGCTCATCACGATATCTTCATTTGCTTTAAAAGGTTAACTGTTCGGAGAAAAGCTTATTAAGCTGATAGATTTAGTCTATTTGATTGTGTTTCTGACGTTGAACAATTTCACTGCTTTATAATACAAAGAATATTTAACCTGCTACGATAGCAATCCGGTATAGTGTAAACGGGGCCTAAGGGATGACAATTATGATAACTGAAAAATTAACTTGAATTATTTAACAGCTTCTGCAGTTCTTTCTTGCAATAATCTGGTACATTGTATGGTCCACCAAATCCACACTGCCATCTCCGTTGCCGAAACGTGCCATAAATTCTTTTCTTTCACTGTTGGAGAAGTTTGTGGAGTGATAATGAGAAGCGCTTAAAAAGCTAAGGAAATCGTCTAGTGTTTTATATCGTTGTTTTCCAACATCATAATCACTTGAAATGATTTCAAAGCCCATTTCCTCGATAAGGGATGTGGCTTCAGATTTAGACATAAAAAATTGAATCGGTTTCTTATCATTGATATCAGTCAAAGCGTTCTGTCTCTTTGAGATTAGGCATTCCACATATAAAGCAATTTCCGGATAGCCTTCGTGACTCTGGATAGCTATTTTGCCACTTGGTTTCAGACAGTGGAAAGCCGTTTGCAAAAACATTTTCTTTTCATCTAATGTAAGCCATTGAAACAAAAATTGCTGAAATGGATATCGTAGAAAGATTTGTTTCGCTGTAAAATTCACTTGAACTGTCGCCAATTTCAAATGAAACATTTTCGTTCACGTTGCAATTGTGTTGAATCGCGTAATGAATTCTTTCTATGTCTGGATCAACACCAACCACTCGACCTTTTTTTCCAATAATCTCCCCAATACACAAGGTCAGCTCTCCTGTTCCACAACCCATATCCAAAATTTTATCGCCTTGTTTAATGCCCACTTTTGTAGCGAGCTTCTTGCCATAATGTAGTTGAAGATTGTTATTTTCAGAGTACCTTGCAGCAGCCCCATAAATTTTCTTGTCAAGCACTGCTTCTAGTGATGATTTCATTATTTGTAAAATAATTTACAACTCACTGATATAATCGAAGTAGGTATTTACAACTTATCTTATTTATACGAGCCACTGCTAATTTCAATGTAAAGAATTTGTCGGCTTGCAGCACTCATTGAAACGTGCACATGTACTGATGACGTCATGATAAATGTAAACACTATAGCTCTCGAAATTTTCTTTCAATGTAGGCCCACTTCGAAAATTGTGATTTTTTCTTGCGTCCACAGAGGAACTAAAAAATTTTTCATTGATTATGCTGCTGTACTAGTACTTGTTAACTTTAGCATGTATGTCAATCGTTCAACTTACATTAAGGAAAATAGATTATTTTACATTGATCTCAGATTATTTTACAAAATTCTCGGCGACATTTGAATACAAAATCTCACGGCAACATTTGAAAACTCACGGCAACATTTGAATACAAAAATCTCACGGCGACATTTGAATACAAAAATCTCACGGCAACATTTGAATACAAAAATCTCACGGCAACATTTGAAAACTCACGGCAACATTTGAAAGCTCGCGGCAACATTTGAATACGAAAATCTTACGGCAACATTTGAAATTCTTACGGCGGAAGCAAAGTGAAGGAAGTTTAATCATTGACTTATAGTCTAAAAAATATAAAATGGCGGAAAACATTAAAGAATACGATGTCGATGACCATGAAAATCTTGAACAAAGCAGTGAGGAAGAGATCATACGTTATTATTTCCTAAATGGTTTCAATACAAAGAAATTCTTAACTTCATAAGAAAATATCACGGTAAGCAGATTAGCATGAGTACATTAAAGCGAAGAATAAAACATTTTGGTCTTCGACGAAAAAACAGCCATTATGATATGGACGTTGTACGTGATGCAATTCGTGCGGAATTAGACGGTCCAGGAGGTTGCCGAGGTTATAGTTTAATATGGCATGCCCTTCAAATGAAGGGAATAACTGTACCTAGAGACGTTGTGGCAGGAATGTTACTTAAGAGAGCTTGATCCAGAAGGAGTGCAAGAAAGATCTAGACGCAGATTGAAGAGAAGGATTTACTGGAATCCTGGACCAAATTCTTACTGGCATTGTGAAGGAGATGACAAGTTAAAACCATATGGCTTTCCAATCCATGGATGTATAGACGGATGGAGCCTTAAAGCCCTTTGGTTATATGTTACTAAGTCAAATAATCTACCAAGTAATATTGAAACGTATTATTTGGAGGCTGTGGAACAATTTAATGGCTGTCCTGAAGATTTTATTACAGACCTTGGTACAGAAAATGGCCTTGCCGCTGCCATTCACTCATTTTTTCGAATGACCCAATCAGTCATAAGTATGTGTCTTCACCCAGAAACCAAAGGATAGAAGGGTGGTGGTCATTCCTGAGAAAAGATCATGCAAATTGGTGGATCAATTTTTTTAAAGATCTGGCTGAAGAAGGAACTGTAGACCTCTCCATTCCTCTTCATGTGGAATGCCTTTGGTTTTCTTTTGCAGATTTGCTCCAAAAAAATTTAAATGAAGTAAAAGAGCTGTGGAATTCACATTACATCCGAAAATCAAGGTATGACACTCTACAAGGAAGGCCAGATTCTCTGTACTATTTTCCCGAACTTCAGAATGGTGAATGTAATTTGCTTTTGCCTGTTCTTGAGTCTGAAAGACTATATGCTAGAGAGCATATCATATGTGAACATGATGCACCAAACAACTATCAGAGATATTTTTTGTATGTGATGGAAAATTGCTCATTACAGAAACCACAATTGATTTGACCAAAGTTGATGATAAATATTTAACTGAAAAAGAAAAAGAAAAACTTTATGACATTCGACTTGATTGTACCAAATACTGTGATTTCATTTTGGATAATGGCTACACTGGAGTTGTTGAAGGAAGTCATGTTGAAGATATTATAAATTCCCTGAAAGTAAAGTTTGTTAGCAATCGCATACTATACATGAATGAGTTTTAAAAAGGTCTGGATGTTTATGGACTTGGAGATATGATTATGAAAAATCCAGATGCTTGTCATTCTCTTTTTTTGTGAAAAATTTATGTGCTGATATGGTTCTTGATGCAGATTATCTTTTTTCTTTGGTTGAACCTGTGTTTTCAGAGGAAGGATCTTCAAAGCCCTTAGAACACACTATAGTGGACAACCTTCAAGATTTTTTATTTCACTAGAGGACACATTAGTACCGGGGTATTCAACAGCAGTTGCTTGGAAATATGATGAAGAAGAGAATGTTAACATAAACACAGAAGAATTATTTGAAATGCCAGAAATGTCTGTAAAAGGTGTTATGGGATGGCTCACAGGCCAAAGACATAAACATATTCTACCTAAAGAGAAACCTTCGATTACTCTAAATTTTGACCATGATTGCCTGGTAAGAAATCCAAACCACACGACGTGTTTTCCGTTAGTTGGAGCTTGTGGGAGAGAGCTAACCATACCAGTTGTACATATGTGTGAGTCAAGGAAGTTTAAAGAAATTTTTGTCATGGCATATTGTAAAAGTCAATCATTTGCTAAAGCATGAATTAAAAGAAGATTGACATTTTAAAATTGAGAAAGAAATATGTTCACATTTTGTTAAATTTTTTAATGAACTGTTTTACGTGAAGGGAAGCTGTAGAATTGTTTGTTACACTAATACGGCATGCAAACATTGTGGACTGAGAATTGCATAGATTTTTATTGATAACATAAAAAATTCTGACTGATTTACTAAGCTTCTTGTTGTTAAAATGAAAACAAAACTGTAACATAAGTCACAAGATTAGTTTCATTAGAGGGCTCTGATTTTAAGTTCTCCAGCTTATTAAAAGTTCACGTGAAACAGTTCATTAAAAAATTTAACAAAATGTGAACATATTTCTTTCTCAATTTTAAAATGTCAATCTTCTTTTAATTCATGCTTTAGCAAATGATTGACTTTACAATATGCCATGACAAAATTTTTTAAACTTCCCTCGCACATATGTACAACTGGTATGGTTAGCTCTCTCCCACAAGCTCCAACTAACGGAAAACACGTCGTGTGGTTTGGATTTCTTACCAGGCAATCATGGTCAAAATTTAGAGTAATCGAAGGTTTCTCTTTAGGTATGTTTATGTCTTTGGCCAGTGAGCCATCCCATAACATCTTTTACAGACATTTCTGGCATTTCAAATAATTCTTCTGTGTTTATGTTAACATTCTCTTCTTCATCATATTTCCAAGCAACTGCTGTTGAATACCCCGGTACTAATGTGTCTCTAGTGAAATAAAAATCTTGAAGGTTGTCCACTATAGTGTGTTCTAAGGAAGATCCTTCCTCTGAAAACACAGGTTCAACCAAAGAAAAATAATCTGCATCAAGAACCATATCAGCACATAAATTTTTCACAAAAGAGAATGGCAAGCATCTGGATTTTCATAATCATATCTCCAAGTCCATAAACATCCAGACCTTTAAAACTCATTCATGTATAGTATGCGATTGCTAACAAACTTTACTAGGGAATTTATAATATCTTCAACATGACTTCCTCAACAACTCCAGTGTAGCCATTATCCAAAATGAAATCACAGTATTTGGTACAATCAAGTCGAATGTCATAAAGTTTTCTTTTCTTTTCAGTTAAATATTTATCATCAACTTTGGTCAAATCAATTGGGGTTTCTGTAATGAGCAATTTTCCATCACATACAAAAATATCTCTGTTGGTTGTTGCATATGTTCACATATGATACTAGCATATAGTCTTTCAGACTCAAGAACAGGCAAAAGCAAATTACATTCACCATTCTGAAGTTCGGAAAATAGTACAGAGAATCTGGCCTTCCTTGTAGAGTGTCATACCTTGATTTTCGGACGTAATGTGAATTCCAGCTCTTTTACTTCATTTAAATTTTTGGAGCAAATCTGCAAAAGAAAACCAAAGGCATTCCACATGAAGAGGAATGGAGAGGTCTACAGTTCCTTCTTCAGCCAGATCTTTAAAAATTGATCCACCAATTTGCATGATCTTTTCTCAGGAATGACCACCACCCTTCTATCCTTTGGTTTCTGGGTGAAGACACATACTTATGACTGCTTGGGTCATTACGAAAAATGAGTGAATGGCAGCGGCCATTTTCCGTACCAAGGTCTGTAATAAAATCTGCAGGACAGCCATTAAATTGTTCCACAGCCTCCAAATAATACGTTTCAATATTACTTGGTAGATTATTTGACTTAGTAACATATAACCAAAGGACTTTACGGCTCCATCAGTCTATACATTCATGGATTGGAAAGCCATATGGTTTTAACTTGTCATATCCGTCACAATGCCAGGAAAATTTGGTCCAGGATTCCAGTAAATCCTTCTCTTCAATCTGCGTCTAGATCTTTCTTTCACTCCTTCTGGATCAAGCTCTCTTAAGTAACAATCCTGCCACAACGTCTCTAGGTACAGTTATTCCCTTCATTTGAAGGGCATGCCATATTAAACTATAACCTCGGCAACCTCCTGGACCGTCTAATTCCGCACGAATTGCATCACGTACAACGTCCATATCATAATGGCTGTTTTTTCGTCAAAGACCAAAATGTTTTATTCTTCGCTTTAATGTACTCATGCTAATCTGCTTACCGTGATATTTTCTTATGAAGTTAAGAATTTCTTTGTATTGAAATCCTTTTAGGAAATAATAACGTATGATCTCTTCCTCACTGCTTTGTTCAAGATTTTCATGGTCATCGACATCGTATTCTTTAATGTATTCTGCCATTTTATATTTTTTAGACTATAAGTCAATGATTTAACTTCCCTCACTTTGCTTCCGTAAGAATTTCAAATGTTGCCGTAAGATTTTCGTATTCAAATGTTGCCGTGAGCTTTCAAATGTTGCCGTGAGAAATTTGTATTTAAATGTTGCCGTGAGATTTTCGTATTCAAATGTTGCCGTGAGCTTTCAAATGTTGCCGTGAGTTTTCAAATGTTGCCGTGAGCTTTCAAATGTTGCCGTGAGTTTTCAAATGTTGCCGTGAGATTTTTGTATTCAAATGTTGCCGTGAGATTTTCGTATTCAAATGTTGCCGTGAGCTTTCAAATGCTGCCGTGAGTTTTCAAATGTTGCCGTGAGATTTTTGTATTCAAATGTAGCCGTGAGATTTTTGTATTCAAATGTTGCCGTGAGTTTTCAATGTTGCCGTGAGATTTTTGTATTTAAATGTTGCTGTGAGATTTTTGTATTCAAATGTTGCCGTGACACTTATAGGCCACCGTAGTTAAGCATGTCGCAAAAAGTTTTAACTCACAAGTTACATCATTCGCTCTTGCTTTTTTGGTGTAAATTAATCTTTTTATTGCTAAATGTAAAAAACTTCCGTGTAAATAAGGCAAAATAGAATTTGAATCCGTGTCAAATTCTGAGGCTAAGATTTGACGACCTTTAAGTTGACAATTTGTCTTCCGCTGATTTGTTCAAGGTTACTTTAACTTGTGGACTGATCTTGTAGGTGAGGTGTAATTAAGATATATCTAAGATATAGTTTTGTATAGTAATTTCTATTTGTAAAATAGTAAAATAGTATACCTTATTGAATGTATACCCCATTTTATAGAGTAATGAAAACGACTGAAATAATTATCCTGTTTTGGGTGTTCTGGGGTAGTAATTACACCAAAAAGTGGGACAATGCGACTGGAAGCTGGGGTAAATCAAATTAGTGGGTAAAAATTACTACCGAATCTGGGGTAAAAACTACTGTAGACATCTGGGGTAAAAATTACTACAGACATCTGGGGGTAAAAATTACTATTGACATCTGCGGGTAAAAGTTACTACATACGTCTGGGGTAAAACTACATTTGATAAAACAAATATGACGGACTTTTAAGGAGTGAGCATGGCAATGCATTCTTATAAATGAGTTAAAATTATTATTTTTAAAGAGCAGGTGTATAATATGCTACGATGAACTTTATAAGATAAAGACTAATTTTATGGAGAAGGAGACCAACGTGTGTTCATGTCATGTGCAAGTAAAACACAGGCTTTCAGGTGAGTTAAAATCGGATTTTTCGTCAATATTTATTATACAACAATGGCATAATAACTTATGCACCGTTACACATACAATGCGATTTGAACACGCTGCAAACTATCTACCTATTGATATCTCTTTTCAGTTTAAGATTTAATTCTTAACAGTAAACAATATTTTTACTCGCTTTTACTTTAAGCTTATAGCTACCTAGCTCTATGTGACATACATTGGTAACTTTTCATGAGAATTAGATTCAAAGTTAACGATTGGGGGGAAGGAGATGATAAGATTAACAATATTCTTTTGTCTAAATCTCGGTGGAAGTTAGTTTACTGAACAAGGCGTATTAAAGCAAATAAAAGCTTTAGAAAGTGTGCTACTGCTATTGATAAAATTTCAATACCTGATTATTATGCGGATATGCCAAGGCGTAGAAATGTGCTTATTTTGCTCGACACTGTATAAAATGCAAACATTATTTATTCTAAATGTTTCAACTGGTATCACTATTACATGCTCTTGTTGGAGCAAAGATGTGTAATATCTGCATGTGGAAACATTATTTTGGCATTATTGATTTATCATTATAGGTCAATGCCTATGTTGATGCACCATGTAATGCTCAGTAATAATATGTTGTAAACGTAGCACTGCTTTGTATTTTAATATTTTTTCTTGTTAAAGTGGAACTTAAAACATAGGGCACACAAAATTCTTCACTTGACCTTCATCTTTGGCTATCAAATCAAGTGGGAAAGGATGCACAAGCTGTGTTTGTCTCGCTATTACCAAGGCTCCAATGTTGTTCCCTTCGTATGAATTAAAATGCTTGTCCAAAGCTGCTGTGTTGCTTCAATGACAAAGCAAGAATCACTTAACTCTTTTTCAACAATGCAAATGGCTTTTAGAACTGCAGATCGTGGTAACTCTTCCTTATTGTGATCAACACACAACCAGTTTTGTATGTGGTACCGTGAATAGAAATCCATTTTGGTCTGAAGAATTAGAGGTAATTTTTTAGAAATTTTTTTTTGGATTAGTTCATTGTATATTCTTTTCCTTTTTGCTTATTAATATGTTATAAAATATTGTGTACAAAGTTTTTAAATACTGGGTAATTTTTGCTGTTGGATGCACATTTTCTTGGTCTTTTATTTGATTGTAATATTCAAAGTCACCAGTATTACATGTTTGACGTGGCAGTTTATAACAAAACATTAGTTTACACTTTGGAATGTCTTGATCATCAAATTTGTGGAATGGTTTCTTTTAGATGTTCCAACTATTAGTATCATATGCATATTTTAATATACTTACTTATTGGGATTTCTGGATCTTTCTCAATAAATAAAGATTCATGATTTCCGCTTTACAGCGGATAGGTAACCCATTGTTGATGTCTCATAGACATAGAGTATGCCAAGTTTATGAAGTTCCCAATGAATGAGCCTAGTCGTTTAAAGTAGTGATGCTTAGCTTTATACCGCATACACCAGGCATGAATAAAGGGCCATGACTAGAAGATAAATTAAAATTAAAATAACAACCTAGAATTTTTCATGTACTCTTTCCCATATTTATTATTTAGAATATGATGGTTGTTGATCACCTCAATATCATTGTGGGCATATGGATCATAAAGTGCATTATTGGGATGATAGAACATCTAGGATAGAGCCTGCAAAACTCCTGGTGATGGTCATTGATGAGTGTCTGCAAGTATGCTACTTGATCTTTGGACAACGCTGGTGAAAAGCAAAGGAATATTATTTCCAGCATTTGTAGGAAAAGAATCCAATGAGCATCTTACCGTGGAACCAAATCCCTAATTAACAATGGTAAATGAGTTGCTAAGCACCACATTTGTGCAACTGTAAAATTGTGAATCAATGAATGACTTGACTGTGGAGTGGACAATGTTGAACAAAACTGTTTAACATTTGTAAACAGTTCTTATTTATCAGTTTTACGTATGTAACTTACCATGCTGATTTAGACTGTTATCATTTGATGAAAACTTCTGCTCACAAATCAGTGTTGGCTTGTTCTTGTTGTTATGATATCCAAAGTCATAACTGGAAATGCGACCATTTAGCTCTTCAAAGGTAAGGTAATGCTGTACTTTTATGTAATGTTTTAGCATTTCTTTGATTTCGTATTGTAACTTACCCTCCAGAATATCGTGCATTACATCAGGTGGTAAACCTCCAACAATCTTTTTCACTGATGTTTTAGAAATCACACTTTTATTTAATATCGCAAGTAACATGTTTTTGAAAGGGAAATTAAACCATTGGTACACATAAACTAAATTTGAATATGATGTCCTGCACTAGAGCACGGGTGAAATGTTTTGCATGTGCTTTAATGTATGATGTACAATTAAGATAAGCAGTATTATCATTTTGATTGTTCAACTGCTTGCAAATATTTATCAAGCTTTATAATTATGACGTCATATTAAACAATAACTCTTGATATTTGTAAGTATAACGTCTTACTTACAAATAATAGTTTTACTGCATTGCTGAAGCAAAAAGGAATTTTGAGGACAATCATTAAATAGTGACGTTGGCAACAGTTTCTAAAACGATATGCAAAAGCTTTTGAATAAAAGAATGTGGTAAACGCTAAAAAAGCAACCAAGCTGGCTTTGAACATATTTTAAACGTACTTAAAGAAGAAGAACTTGAAGGAAAATTACGGAGTTTTTAAAAAATGTTGTGGGTCTATATATGTTTTAAGAAATATTTTAGTTGGTTGAGGTGAGTCATAAAACAATTTTATTGAATTCATCTTTTGCCTAATGTCAAGAATTATTTGAACAGCGGTGAACGTTATCCTCGCTTCGGCAGATACCATTGTCCTAGGTCAAACTTTGAATATTTATTGATGGCATATGGCAAAACTCATCCAAAATTTTTATATAAATAATGATAATTTTTGTATGCGCTTACTTTGATTTTATGTAATTTAGATGGTACTTTGTACATTGTCAACATGAATAAATATACAGCTGAATCACAACTTTTATGTGTTACTTAAGAGATAAGAAAAGACTCTAGTCAAGTTGGCTACTTCGATTAATGGAAATGTTTGGAAACGCTGATTGAAGTATTGAGATATTCGATCTACAGCTTAGCTGATGTGTACGGCGTACTTTCTCAACAAAATGGGGCTTTTAACTTTTTGAAAACTTATTTATAAAACTTTTGACGATAATTTAATGTTTTTCCTCCATGCATTGATTACAAGTTTTTATATGCAGTTTACGTCAGAAAACATTGATATTGCTATATAAAACTGAATTATGTCTTCTTTGCTACAATCTGGTAAACTGTGGGATCAAAAAAGTCCACACTTCCATCGTCGTTTCCAAACAATTCCGCAAACATTTTAAACGCATTCAGCGAAAGCATTTCGCTCTCATGATAATCAGAAGCCACGACAAAGTTGACAAAATCACGGATTGTTGCATACCTATAAGTTTCTAGATAAAAGTCATTTGAAATTATTTCAAAACCGCAATCCCTTAAAATAGATTCAGTTTCTGATTTATTCATAAAGAATGGAAGCGGCCTAATATTTACTTCATCTTTCTTACAAAGCGAAAATGGTTGATCGTTCGAAATCATTTGTTCAACTTGTTTCATCACGCAAGGAGTTTCCTGGTGACTCTGAATTGCAATTACTCCTCCACGCTTTAGGCTTTCGAAGGCAACTCGCACAAATTCTTTCTTTCTTTCTGGAGAAAGCCATTGGAACACAAAATTACTAAAATGGACATCGTAGTAGGATTTGTTTCGTTGAATAAACTCAGTCGAACTATCGCCATGCTCAAATACCACAATGTTTACGCTTAAATGCTTTTGCTTTGCGTATTGAATTCTCCCAAAGTCTGGATCGACACCAACCACTTGACCCTCTCTGCCGACAATTTCCCCAAGAAATGAAGTCAACTCTCCTGTTCCGCAACCCATATCCAAGATTTTGTCTCCACCTTTTATATCAGCAGTTATTGCAAGTGTTTTACCATAATGCACTTGGATATCATTATTTTTAGAATAGGCCTCAGCAGCCTCGAATGATCGTTTGTTTAACATTTCTTTTAGTACTGTAGTCATTGTATTAAAAGAAAATTACACTCTGTTTAATCAATTAGGATAGCACGGTACGAAAAATGTTTATATAACACCGCTATGGCGTTCTCTCCTTTGAATGGAAACTCTCCTTTCATTAAGCTTTTAACGGAAAGTTCATATATACGTATTTGCGGGAAACACGTCACTATGACGTCAGTGAGGTATGGGGCTTAAAGACATGGCGTCTTAAAGCCCCCTACCCCATGCACATTTTTTTGGTCTTTTATTTGATTTTAACATTCAAAGTCACCAGTTTTACATGTTTGACCTGGTAGTTTGAAGTCAACTCTCCAGTTCCGCAACCCATATCCAAGATTTTGTCTCCACGTTTTATATCAGCAGTTATTGCAAGTGTTTTACCATAATGCACATGGATATCATTATTTTTAGAATAGGCCTCAGCAGCCTCGAATGATCGTTTGTTTAACACATCAATTAGGATAACACGGTACGAAAAATGTTTATATAACACCTCTATGGTGTTCTCTCCTTTCTATGGAAACCCTCCTTTCATTAAGATTTTTAAGGGAAGGTTCAAATATACGTTTTTGCAGGAAAGACGTCAATATGAGACGTCTGGGAGGTAGGGGGCCTAAAGACATGACATCTTAAAGCCCCCTACCCCATGCACATTTTCTTGGTCTTTTATTTGATTTTAACATTCAAAGTCACCAGTATTACACGTTTGACCTGGTAGTTTGTCACAAAAACATTAGTTTACAATTTGGAATGTCTTGATCATCAAATTTGTGGAATGGTTTCTTTTAGATGTTCCAACTATTAGCACCATATGCACATTTTAACATACTTACTTTTTGGGATTTCTGGGGCTTTCTCAAAAAATGAAGATTCATGATTTCCAATTTGCAGCTGATAAGTAACCCATTGTTGATGTCTCATAGACAGGGTATGCCAAGTTTTTGAAGTTCCTAATGAATGAGCCTAGTCGTTTAAAGTAGTGATGCCTAGCTTTGTACCGCATACACCAGGCATGAACTAAAGGGCCATGACTAGAATTAGAATTAAAATAACAAACTAGAATTTTTTTAATGTATTCTTTCCCATATTTATTATTTAGAATATGATAGTGTTGATCACCTCAATATCATTGTGGGCATATGGATCATAAAGTGCATTATTGGGATGATAGAACATTGGATGGATGATGTACCTTACCATGCTTTATCATTTGATGAAAACATCTGCTCATAAATCAGTGTTGGATTGTTCTTGTTGTTATAATATTCGAAGTCATAACTGGAAATGCGACTATTTAGCTCTTCCAAGGTAAGGTAATGCTGTACTTTTATGTAATGTTTTAGCATTTCTTTGATTTCGTATTGTAACATACCCTCCAGAATATCGTGCATTGCATCAGGTGGTAAACCTCCAACAATCTTTTCTCACTGATGTGTTAGAAATCACACCTTTATTTAATATCGCAAGTAACATGTTTTTTTGAAAGGGGAACTTAAACCATTGGTACACATAAACTAAAATTGTTACGTACTTCGTTATAAGTACAAACCAATTTACATGCACTTCTATACTTTAAGTGTTTCATTTTGCAGCTTTCAAAGAAACTGTGCTATTCTTCTAACAAAACTACTGGAGAAAAAATCATCAAGAGGAAGAGATGTCATAGAGTTGTTGTGCGTAAGTGCATATACTGATGTAATAACTTTGTATGAAATGTACAAAGGCAGTTTACCATTACCCATGTGCTACTAGAGATCCTATTTTCCTACCCTATAGACACCGTAACTTCCTTAACTAGGTAGTTGGTTAATCAATATGCTCAGAACACGACTTTCGTTTAAAACGTCGAAGAACCAATTATTGCTGTCAAAGCGCCATAGAGAATCCTTAAAACGCAAGTACTCAAAGTGGCCCCAAGAAATAAATCAGCATAACATAAATCCTAACACGGTTTTTATATGCACATGAAAAACATGTGACTTGGCAGCCTCAAATAATCGTTTATTTAACACTTCTTTTAGTACTGTAGTCATTGCATTAAAAGAAAATTACACTCTGTTTTATCAATTAGGATAACGCGGTACGAAAAATGTTTATATAACACCGCTATGGTGTTCTCTCCTTTCTATGGAAACCCTCCTTTCATTAAGCTTTTAAGGGAAGGTTCAAATATACGTTTTTGCCGAAAAGACGTCAATTTGACGTCTGGGAGGTAGGGGGCTTAAAGATATGACGTCTTAAAATTCTCTCGAACTATACGCTCATAAACACTGAGTATTAAGAATTTTGACAGCCAGTATGACAGCTAATTAGTGTCAATTACGACAAAAACATGCAGTTTATTAGAGTATCTGATTGCTGTGTTTGTTGAACAACTAATTCCAGTTATATGCGTATGAATGCACACATATAATCAGCGCCGAAGATTAAATCAATAAAGTAAGTATATAGTGAAAGAATTACCTCTAATGTAGCCTGACGTCTTTAAGAACGGGAGGGGGTTGTGAGAGACGTCATATTGACGTCTTTTAGGCAGAAATGTATAGTTGACCCTTCCCTAACTCAGTGTGACTGTGTCGACATCATATTATTCTTTGTTTGAAGACGTATTTCTGTTGTAGAAAAATAATGCCAACATGCACTGTCTTTTGATGTCGTATAGTGGTTCATTTTTTAAAGCAATTGAAGCACTACAAAGATTGCCTGTGGCAGCGACACAAATGATTTTTCAGACCATCAAAAATTGTCTTGTGATTGCTATATAGAATAAAGGGGAGAGAGGAGAATTTTTCCTTTCGATAGTAACTTCTAGTGTTTATATTTGTTATGACGTCATGAGTACACGTGCACGAGTCAATAAAAGATTTGCAAGCCGATGCCAATACTTTCTTTAAAATCAAAGTAGGTGGGCTTTATATGTATAAGATAAGTGGCTCGTATTTATTTAAATTATCTCATTGATTTCATTTTCTAAATAATGATAACATCACTAGAAGCAGTGCTTAACAAACAAATTTATGGGGATGCTGCAAAATACTCTAGAAATAACAATTTTCAACTACATTATGGCAAAAAGCTTGCAATAACACTTGGCATTCAACAAGGCGATAAAATTTTGGATATGGGTTGCGGAACGGGAGAGCTGACCTCATTTATTGGGGAGATTGTAGGAAAAAAAGGTCGAGTTGTCGGTGTTGATCCAGACATGGAAAGAATTCACCACGCTATTCAGCACAATTATAAAGTGAATGGAAACGTTTCATTTGAAATTGGCGATAGTTCAAGTGAATTTTTACAACAAAACAAATCCTTTTACGATGTTCATTTCAGTAATTTTTCCTTTCATTGGCTTACATCAGATGAAAAGAAAGAGTTTTTGCAAACGGCTTTCGAATGTCTGAAGCCAAGGGGCAAACTAGCTCTTCAGAGTCATGACGGTTATCCGGAAATGGTTGCCTATGTGGAATGCCATGTCTCAAAGAGACAGAACGCTTTGAACCTTAATTAAGCAACTGTATTACTGATGATTGTAAGTTAGGTGTCCAAGAAAGTACAAAGTATAGCCTCAAGTAATTAATACGACTATTGAATGTTTAGTAAAAACAAAAAATAATAGGAATGCCAATAATTTCGCAATTAAAAGCAATTGGACTTTGTCTCATATCTAAAGTGCTTTTTCTAACATTTTCTATAAGGATTGTTGAACAGTGTAAGCTTAACATTTTTGGTGCACAAGGTTTGCATATGTCATATGCCAGCAAGCTATATTATCAAATGCTTCGCGATCGGTATTTCCAGAGTCTTCTACATATCGTAAAATTTGGGACTTTTATCATTCACTTGTTTGTACACATTAAATCATTTTCCAGTTTCCGTCATCTTATCGAAATTAACCTTTTCTATTGTAGCTTTCATAAATTTTGAGTTAGATAATATTACCACAGTCTTTAACTTTTACAATATATTACACCAATGCACATTGATATTGTTATTATAGCATCTTTTAACTGTTATGTTAATTACTTTATTTACATAACATATCCTTCAAATCTTATGTTAGTTATTTACATTGCATCTCTACAAAATTTTTGTATGTTATTGATAATTTTTTAAGGAGTATATGCATTGCTACAAGGGTAAATATATAATTGATTCCTTTATACGTTTTTCAAGCGATCACGTTCGTTAGCAATAAAATTTGAGATAACTAATCCTTGAACTTTGTAAACGTACGCAGGCTACATGATGTATAATTAGTATTCTCGTTAGTTTCTACACAAAACATTTCCTTCAATCACTACATCAGTCTGTTTTCGCCTTCTTGAATTTCTCAATTTTTGGCATATTTTCGCATATTTTTGCAATTTTGTTTATGGAATGATGAATTTTATGTCCAATTGCTGGGGTAGTAGAGTCTCAGATAGGCACCTTACATAAAAGTGCTTTTGACATAACCTTGTACCCTAACTTGAACTGTCGTTCAGTGTGCCATTTTTTGCTTCACCGCAAAAGCAATATAGCATATTAGCAATAAGTTTTGGCTATCCCGTTGTTTTGTTTGTTATATATATAGAACGAATATCCGTTCTATTGTGAATATGCGTCATGATGTCATGCTTGTCATGTTTATTATGCCTACAGAATATGTAACTAACCGGAATGGTCACTCCTTTGATATTTTTGGTCACACCGACAATTGCCGGAGGTAACCGTCGCCATGTTCTTGGGTAGTAAAGTGAGAGAATCTTACTATGAACAATATGGCCAAAATTGGATTGTTCAGTTTTAAAATGATTTTTATGGAGTTTAAGTGGACAATCTTTGACATTTTTATAATTATATTAAAGAGAAGGTAATATACGCTTACTTCGTCGACTCTTTTGACTTAAAAATCTAATTTCACAATACAATTTGACTGCGATTTTTTGGGAGTATACTCGCCTACTCGGCGGCTTCGACTCGTAGGTTTTAGTTTATCTTTGTTGTTTTAGCAACTCGTTTAAAGTATTCCCTAGAAATATTACGTAGTACTTGTATATATACAATATATAAATAATGATGCCAAATACTTTAATGCTGGTATGTGCTTTAAAGGAGGTATTGTACAAATAACCATGGTTAAATCAAAGTGTTATGTTATCGAACTATACAAACAATATTTCTTGTTTTCAACATTGGGATGACAATAGATAAATAGAGTTTCTAACTACTGCTTCGTTAAGTCCTTTTAGAAGACATGCAGTGTATTTATTTTAAGAGTGAAAACCTTCACTAACTTAGTTTCATCCCTTTTTTCGATTAGTCATGTTTGTAAATATTCACTAAGTTTGGTGGGCATTTGTAAGTATTTCAACGAAAGCATTTCCTAGGAATTTAGAGTTACATCATATCCAAGCGTAAATATGAGTGATCAGCCTAATTATAAACGGTACATGACCTTATATTTGCTATTATATTTTCTATGCTCTAATGGTACTCATTTAAAGCGTTCAAACACGTAAACTTTAATCTCCAAAAGAATGAAGCCTAGTTAAAATCATTTCTATTGTTCCTTTTAAATATACGACACGTCATATCATAATTTGTAACTGATTTGGACAACATGGTAAAGATAAACTAAATCCTACGAACTAACCACCGAATATATTCCCAAATAAATCGCAGTTGAATTGTGTCGCAAAATTAGATTTTTGCGTCAAAAGAGTCTACGAAGTAATCGTGTATTACCTTTGGGTAAATCTATAATCGCGTAAAATCACTTGAAGTAATCGTGTATTTGATATACACATAAAAATGGAATAGATAGTCCATTTAAACTCCATAAAAAGCATTTTTAAACTCGAGAATCCATTTTTCGCCATTTAGGCCGTATTCTGTGAGTAGTTATCGTGCAGTTCCGTTGCCATTGGTCGGGCACTAAGTTTAATTTATATAAATCTATGGATTTTTATGTAGTGAATAAAAATTTATATGTTGTCACGCGTATAAACCTGCAGTTTGGTGAGCATTTTGCCATCAAACATCGACAATTTTGCTTCTTTGATACTTAAACGCGGCCATTGTTCTTTTTCAATACTTCATGCAATAAACAGCTATTGTACTAGTTATAATCTCTTACGTGGCTCATGTTTGCGCTGCTTCTGACTTGCATTGAACTAAAATACGGAATTAAAATGTTTATCTGTATTGGTTAGAAGCAATAAATTTACCCTGTCATTATTGCTTGTAAATTTAGGAAACAATTTAGTTGTTTCATCCGCGTAAAATGCGGTTGAGGCCAAATGATATCCATGGGCCGGGTGCAAGAAGCCAGGATAGCGTTAACCATTAGATAGCAATTTTTTTAAACGGTTAAAAACTTCTTAAAAAGGAAAATAGAGGGTTTGAACTGAGCAATCATTGAAATAAATATTGCTTAAAAGAACCTTTTACAAGTTTGAAAATTTTACTTTCTATCCAAGGTTCATGCAACCGGCTCCTGTGCGTTAGATACTGATTTGCACTCTATCTGCTAATCCAGTGCTTGCGCTTAAATCCTCGCAAGTTAGTAAGTTTTTTGTCAGTCAATATCTACCACCACAGCAAATGCTTCAAAGGAGACTGTAATAATCGATATCATGTGCTACGATATAATCTGAAGATAACTTTATGCAATTTTTTAAGACACAAATAGTAGCAATCTACGGAAAATTAGTGCAAAACGAAAAAAAACAAAAGGACTGCATCCTGACCTTTGAAATTTTAACTTCACTTTAAAAGAGAAAGTTGATAACTTAGCTACAAATTTTCTGAAGTATCTTTTAAAAAGTTTTTTGTAATGCAGAGAAATTTGCATGACTCTTGATGGTGATGAGAGGGAAATTGCAAAAAGAACTGCGTTAATAGAAGAAAACGAGCCAAGGTCTAGATGAAGTCATTCTGATTTTGTTATTCTAAGTTTACCAATAAAACGTTTATATGTAAATCGAGCGCAGATTCGTTGTGAGAAAGGGAGACAAAGATCGCACACCAAGCAACTTCGGTTTCTATTATGTTTTTCTTTTTATCAAAAACCTTATATTCTACCTTAAAAGCTTGCTT